TCAGCGACCGCTGTGCCCTGCCGGCCGGACAGCCTGGCTGGGCCATTTTACCTCGCGCAGTGGCGACCGCGGCTACGGCCACGAGCGCCTAGAACCCCGGCTCGGCGAGAGGCGTCCGGATTTGGGCGGCTGGACCAAGCTCGGTACCCGGCAAGGCGGTGCTGGCTGGCTGTGGTACTGGTGTCGGAGTGGGCCCACTCGGGTGTGGGTCTGAGCCTGGCCACTCCACTGGCTGACTTTGGAAAAGTCTCAGAAGACTCCGCGACCTCTTGGAAAGTGAGATAAAGCTTTGAGAGTTGAAGTGAGAATAATATGATGGGGAAATGTTTGTGAAAGAACCTGATACAGACCCCCAGTGAGTACAAGCCTGAAAGTTCGTATTATCTGCGTGGATTTAGGCAAGAAGGGGTAGAGTAGGTGCAGTCCCGCGTCCAACCTCTCGAGTTCATCCTCCTCTCTGAGGGGAAGGCTACAGTTTGGGAGCAGTACCGTCATTCTTCTTCTTTTAAAATGACTTATTCCTTTAAAAAAAAATTGATTGATTTTAGAGAGAGAGGAAGGGGAGGGGGGGAAACTGGGATTGGTTGTTCCATTTAGTTATGCATTCATTGGTTGATTTTTTAAAAAAATAGAAATTTATTTGTATTTGTATTTCAGAGAGGAAGGGAGAAGGCGAGAGTGATGGAAACATCAATGAGGAGAGAGAGTCATTGTTTGGCTGCCTCCTGCATGCCCCACACTGGGTATCAAACTCACAACCCGGGCATAGAACTGTGACCTTCTGATTCATAGGTCAATTTAGTCACACCCGCTGGGCTGGATGATTCTTGTATGTGCCCTGACCAGGGATCAAACTGATCAAACCCCAAACCTTGGCTTATTGGGATGATGCTCTAACCCACTGAACTACAGGGCCAGTGTTGGGGTCCAACCCCAGCAGGTCCAGAGGTCCCCAAAGGTGTGGACGGAGTCGGTGAAGAAGGAATGACACGGAGACAGGGTTCAGTTCATCAGCATAGCGAGGTTCTCCAGCCAGGATCTAGCCAGGATCTCCAGCCAGGTTCTGTCGCCATGTTCTCTCGCTATCGCCTGTGCTTTCATGATCCTCCCTAGAGCGCGACTCAGCGGGGACACCAGTTCACCACAGCCCCAGCCCCACTCCTCCCAGCGGAAGCAGGCCCCGCCCACCCTACCTGCAGCCAACCAGAGTACTCCAGCTCTGGCCCAGCGCCTCCTATAAAGGCTGGCCTCGCCACACCCCGGGGAGAGGCCGGTGACCTCCCGCAAGCCATGTTCTGACCCAGTTAAATTTGTTTTTTAAATATATTTTTATTGATTTCAGGGAGGGAGGGAGGGAGAGAGATGGAAACATCAATGAGGAGAATCATTGATCAGCTGCCTCCTGCACGCCCCTTACTAGGGATTAAGCCTGCAACCCGGCATGTGCCCTTTACTGGAATTGAACCCACGACCCTTCAGTTTGCAGGCCAACTCTATCCACTGAGCCAAACCAGCTAGGGCATGTTCTGACCCAGTTTTGGGCACAGTCGCAGCACCCTGGCCTGGCCTGGCCCAGTCCCCCTGCCCCCCCAGTGCAGGAGGCAGTCCTATGAAGGCCCTCCTATCACCAGGTACAGCTTGTGATCCAGTGACAAAGCCTTTCAGGGAGGTATAAGGGGTGGGGGTGGGGGATGGGGAGGGCAGGTTCCTCTCCCCTCTGGTATCAGTGTCTTCCTGTCCAGCTGCAAGGATGGAGGCTGAGCCAAGTTTAGACAACGTGCTCACAGCACCCTCTCGTGGGACGGTGCGAGGGGGGGGATCCCGTGCAGACGCCCCCATCCTTTCTCTCTGGCACCTCAAACCCCATCACCAAGCCCAGGCAATGCGAAGAGCATCCGCGTGTGCCAGCAGCTTTATTCAGCCCACCTCCAGGCACAGTCCCAGCATGCCAGGGAGCAGACCACCCGCTCCAGGTGCGGCCCAGCTGTGGACCCCTGAGCCCCCCACCCCCACAAGCCAGCAGCCAGGGAAAGTTCTGGGGAAGCACCTCGCCCACCCACCCCACGGTGGCTTCAGGGCTTCTCCCAGGTGGCCCGAGACCTGGTTGCTGTCTCAGGGGTGTCCCCTGTGCAGACCGGCCTCTCTGACTGGTAGGTTGCTGGTGCTGGGCCTGGCCCACCCTGAGCCAGCAGACAAGTGTCCACGCTGCATCCAGGGAGGGTGGCCTCAGCCTTGGAGGCCCTGCCGTGCCCAGGCCTCTCAGAAGAGTGGCGCGTGGCTCTGCTTCCTGGCGGAGGCACCCCAGGTCCAGCACGCAGTGTCCTCCTGGGGGTCCACTCAGACTGTCTGTCCGTGGGGTCACAGGGGTCCAGCCCTGGCCTGAGGAAGGAGGAGATCTTGCTCTGGGTCCTCCCTAGTCTCTCTGGCTCGGAGGGGCCTGTGTCTGGGGTGGGCCGGCCGGTCAGGTCTGCCCACGTCTGCCAGAAGCGCAGCTTGTGGTGTGGGCGCATGAACATGCTGAACCTCTGCAGCAGCGGCAAGTCCTCAGGCTTCGAGGTTCCGTGGGGTCACGGGGGTCCAGCCGTGGCCTGAGGAAGGAGGAGATCTTGCTCTGGGTCCTCCCTAGTCTCTCTGGCTCGGAGGGGCCTGTGTCCGGGGTGGGCCGGCTGGTCAGGTCTGCCCACGTCTTCCAGAAGCGCAGCTTGTGGTGTGGGCGCACGAACATGCTGAACCTCTGCAGCAGCGCAGCAGCGGCAAGTCCTCAGGCCTCAAGGTGGTCAGTGCTGCCACCACAGCCACCACCTTCTCAAAGTCATCATCCCGCTTGTACGTGGTCAGTGCTGCCAGGAGCTGACTGCAGCCTGCAGCCCCCAGGGCCCTGCGGGCATCTGCCAGGTAGGTGCTCACAGCAGGCTGGCTCGGCTTCTCCGCTTGAGGGGCGCCACACCCCTCTTGTGGACAGAGGCCACTGTCTCCTTCCGGTGGTGGCCTGGAGGCCAGGTGAGGCTGGCCCTGGTTCAGGTGCCCTCCAGTGTCCAGCTGCCTGGCCGCACTCTGGGACAGGGTCATCTTGGGGACATGGCAGCTGGGCTCTGGTGTCCGCACTGGTGAACCTGTGGTCACAGAGGAAGACGGCCCCATAGTCGTGGCGATGCCGGATGACCCTCCCGATGGCCTGGTTCACAGCCCTGGACGCCTGCTGCCGGTACCAGTCTTGCCCAGAAAGGAACTGGCCCGAGGCCCCACTCCGACCCTTCATCTCATCTAGGAACTGCATCTTGAGGATGACCCGGGGGTCCTTGCGTGGGGGGTACGGGAGACCCGTGACAACCACCCCTCGGCCATTCACATCTGCGAAGTCCAGCCCCTCGCTGGCCTGGGGAGAGCACAGTCTTTACCCACAAGCCCCACAGGAGCCTGCGGACCTTCCCCAGGGTCGGCCCCGACCCTCACGACCACAAGCTCCCAGGTGTGGACAGTTAGGGACAGACCTCCAACCCTGGGCCAGGCCCTGGCTGGGGTCCACACACCCAGAACCCCATGACCACTTGTCTGTTCTTGGAACCTCCTCCTCCTTCCCACCCGTGCCCACCCCGGCCGGCCCCAGCCAGGGTCAGGGGGCTGCCCTCCAGACTCGTATTTGCTGGAAGTGGGGCCCAAGAGAAGGGACCGGCCTGTTCCACCCACAGCGCCGTCCCCAGGCCCCAGCCATGAGCTCCTGTGGGTGAGGAAGACAGGCAGTGCACGTGGGACCAGACTCACCTTCCCCCGGCACACAGCCAGGAAGGCGGCCCCTCGGGATCCCGGGGAGGCGACAGTTGCGTAGTAAGCACCCATCACCTCTGAGAAGCTGCCCTTGCTCCTCGGCTCCACAAACAAAGGCTTCAGGGCCTCGAGCTTCCTGGCACAGTCCCGGGCCTGCGGCAGGAGGTGGAGGGGACAGTCAGGCTCATGAGGCCCGGCAGCCACGGGCCGCACCACAGCCACGCTGGCCATTGGGGCTCCCCTCCCACCCTAGGACACACGAAGGGAACGCACCCGCCAGAACTCCAGGCTTTTCTCCAGGACGGGGTAGGAGGGGAAGAAGACCAGGAGCCCGTGGGGGACCACGCGCGTGATGTTGACTGGAAGTGAGTGGCCATGGTCAGTGGGAAGGGCGTCCAGAGGCCCCGCCGGCTGCCCCAGGAAGAGAAAGCAGGGAAGGGTGCAGGGCTGGGCAGGGGCGAGGCAGGCTCCCCAGACACCATGGATGGGTGGGGTCCAGGATGGGACAGCCAGGCCAGGGCTTCCCGGGAACTCACCTAGCGCCTTCCCCAGAGAGGACAAGCACTCGTCAGAGAACCTGCATGAAGCCAGGAGGCTGCTGCCACGTGGGTCCCAGCACTGGGCCCACCCACTCGCCTCCCTAGGCCAGGTCCCCCTACCGTTTGTCAAAGGCGGAGCTCAGCTGGGCTCCATCAGGGCCTCTGGGGACAATCCCCACCCAGATCTGGTGCTTGTCAATGACGTGTGGGTTCTCCAAGCAGACTGGGAAGGGGATCTGCATCTCCAGGGCGAAGGAGGACACCGGGGCCAGCGTGCCGCTGGTGAGGAGGAGCGTGCGCACGCCCTGGCGGACCAGCTCGCGCATGCAGCAGCCAGGGCTGAAGCACCAGTAACTGAGCACCTTCCCTCGCCTTCCAGACGCCGTGGAGCTCCAAGCATCTGACCGATGAGCTGTCCCCCGGTGGCTGGTGTCAGGGTGGATGTGTACCTTGTAGGACTGAGAGGCTTCGGGCCCCACTGAGGAGCTGCCCTCGGCAGGGTCTGTACTGAACACCATCTGGATGACGTCCGCGAGCGTCTGCAGTCCCGCCGTGTTGGTGAACAGCCCTGCGCGTCCTGCCAGGTGCTGGATGATCTGGTCCAGGGACTCCAAGATGCAGCCCTTGGTCTGACCTGTGATCTGGGCCTCGGCAAACGGCTCGAAGATGTAGCTCCCCGGCTTGGTGACACCTCCGTCACCTCCGGGCAGCTCCACGGCATCGACGGCGCCCTCCAGGCGAAGCAGGATCATCTTCAGCTTCGCAATGTCCTCCAGCTCCATGTTCAGCCCTGAGTTGGCGTCTGCGCTGAACTCCAGGCGGAGCTCCCCCTGCTCTGTTCCTCCAGGATCTGGTCAAGGACGTCCAATCCAGAGGCCACATCGCGGGGCGTCAGATCAAAGGACGCCGACTCCTCGCACATCTTCTCCACATTGTGAGCTTCATCGAGGATCACCACCGTCCCCTTCAGGTCGATGCCGTGTGCCCGGCGACTCTTGGCATCCAGCAAGTAGTTGTAGGGCATGAAGATGATGTCAGCCTGCTGCTTCAGATTCCGGGACAGGTAGTATGGGCACAGCTTGTGCCTGTTCCCACTCTTGACCAGGTCCTCGATGTCCAGGATGGGGGTGGCCAGGTCCTGCTCCAGGCTCTTTTTCAGATCAAAGGACGCCGACTCCTCGCACATCTTCTCCACATTGTGAGCTTCATCGAAGATCACCACCGTCCCCTTCAGGTCGATGCCGTGTGCCCGGCGACTCTTGGCATCCAGCAAGTAGTTGTAGGGCATGAAGATGATGTCAGCCTGCTGCTTCAGATTCCGGGACAGGTAGTATGGGCACAGCTTGTAGCAGCCTGGAGCCCAGGTCAGGCAGCCCTCAGGGGCTGGGGCTCGAGCAGGGAAGAGGGCACGCGAAGAAACGAAGAAACGTAGTGGAATGCAACCTGCATCCTCCTCCCTCCTTGCACTCCCCCGAGGCTTAAAGACCTTCCACAATGAGGACTGGGCACCGGCTGACCCTCTATCCCTCTATGTGGAAATAGGCCCTCTGGATCCTCAAAAGGCTGGCTGCTCACTGGGCCTCAGCTCAAACATCATCCCCTCAGGAGGCCTCCTCAGAAGCCTATACCTTTTGTCTTTTCTTCACAGCACTCATCACCGTCTAGAATGATCTTTTCTTGTTCCTTGTTTATCGTCTCTTATACTGGTCTAGAACATCGGCCCTACTTACTGAACCCCATGTCCGGAAGGTGCCTTTCACGCAGTAGGACTGGCCACAGTGAATAGGCCGTGGACTATGTCGGGTCTTTGCTGAAGTTCTGCCCACGTTGACCCATCCCCCAGGTACAAGCTTTACCTTCTGCAGACACTCCAGGACTTTGGCCATGTACTCCTCCTGGCATTTGTATGGCTGGAAAGGGAAATCCACGGTCACCCCACTCAGGATTATCTTGGGCATAATGGCCTGTTCTCAGGAGGGCTCCGAGGTTGGCTGACATGCAGGCTGTGCGGGTCTGTGAGACAAAACCCACTCTGAACATCTCAGGGTCTCAGCCACTCCAGGTAAGGGATGTCAGCCTGTGGCACTGGGACATGACGCAGTTTTCCAGGGAATTCCCCAGTTAGTCCGGGGCACCAGCGCGTGCTCCGCCGTCTGCCAGTTCGGACTTCGTGCGCCGAGGTGCGTAGCGTCACTTTACGTCACTTCTGCTCCCACTTCCGGTCCGTTGCATTCCAGGTTCTGTCTTTTATTGTCTTGTTACATCTGTATTTATACCCGTTGATTTTTATTCTGTCAGTTTCTATTCCAAAGGTTAGGGCGTTTCTTATCTCTATTCCAGGGAGTAAAGATTATGTAGCTTAAGGGTGATTGTTCCTAGTTAAAGTGATTAACTACCCGCCTGGCATTTAGTTAAGGGGTTTTATTCCCTCCCTAACTTCAGGGAAAAATCCCCACCTGGGGAAACAACCTTTCTTGGAGAGGTAACGTTGGTTAAAACACATAGCGCCAAGAAGGGGAGCAAACATATTAAGAACAGTATGCCATATATGCCAGGTCCCTTGAAACATATGCTGTGCAGATGTTTCTTCCCTGCAGCGACTGTGTCAAGCAGCAAGAACTGACCGGCTTCTGGCAGGCCAGGGCCTGACTGACTTCTTTTTACTCAACAGTTATTGATCCTCCTCCACTTGCCAGACACTGAGTGCTAGGCCCTGGGAATGCTTCCCTGCATGAGTCAAAGTTCTTGTTCTTAAGGGTATTTTTTTTGGGGGGGGGTATAGAAATGGAGGACAGGGCAGACATTAACAATAATAGATGTAACAGAGGCTATTATATTGGGTGTATTAAGTTGATGTGCTGTTTTACATTGGTGATTGGGGATGGTCTGAGGAGGTCATGTTTAAACTGAGATTTGGATGATCAGGAGCAGTCAGCTATGCCCAGATCAGGGACAGGGCATTGCAGACTAAGGCAGGAAAAGAAAAGGGGCAGGAAGCAGGGTGGGGTCCTGAAAGGCTCTGGGACCAAGGATAAGGCGTTTTGTTTGCCTTCTTTTGTTGATGACCTGGCTTCCAAAGGGGTAGTGCATGTGCCAGTATCTATGCTCTCATAATCATTCCCTAATCGGTCCCCAAAAAGCAAAGTTCCAACTACTTTCAATTTACCTAGTAGTTTCTTCATGAGGCCCTGCCCCCTTCATATGGCAAATTCTCCTGTCCTCTGCCTTGGCTTTCTCCTCTGCTGGCCCCTCGTAATCCCTGGGTGGGGGCACACTCCCCACATTTCTTTGGATCATCACAACTCTCTCAGGTTAACCCCCTTTTGGGGTCACTCCCGAATCTGTTTTGGCCCTGCTTTCCTTGAGTTCCTGGTAGGAGGCCCAGGGCCCTGATCCACATTTTAAGATTCAGTCGTCTCCAAGTATACCAGTGGTTGGGAATGGCACGGTATGTGTGTGTGTGTGTGTGTGTGTGTGTGTGTACATGCAGCAGAGGGAGGGGGGTTGACTCTGCAAAGGGTTAAGAGGAACATTTGGGAGTGATGGAAATGTCTGTATCTTGATGGTAGCGATAGTTATACCAGTGCAGGGCTGGCTACATAGTTGGCCTTGGCACAGTACAAAATGAAAATGAAAACGTAGGAAAGCAGGAGGAAAATGCCACTAAAGGTACTAAATTATAAAACTCTTCCTTTTTTCTGTGCTCTCTCTCAACCTATCATGCTACCTATCTATTTATTTATTTACTTATTGCTATTTAATGTTGTATTTCCTAGGGAACAGGGACACTCACTCCCCTTTCTAGGTATCTTCCCTTCCC